TCTTCTTAAAGTCAGTAGGTTGATAGACGAATATGTAAACTGGCTCATAGGGTATTAATTATACATATTCAGATACGTACACATATATGTGTACCTGGGTGCTAGTTGGTGGGTGTCCGTAAACGATATCCTCTATACCTATTCAGTAGTGCTTTAACGAATATAAATGATTAGGGTGCAGCGGGTGGGTATGTGGTAGTAAATATGGATGAGGAAGTGTGTGCACTTCATTTATTCGCCTAGAAGTATGAAAAGAACATAGAGTGCAGACCGGAAGCTCTACCCACGAATATGCAAGTGTCTGTTGAATAGTTCAATATTTTACAGATACGCACATATTAACAACTTTACTGGTGCTACTCTCGCTTGATCTATACCGGATTGTGTCGGAGGCTCTACATAATATCAAACAACTGTTGAATCGGCCGGAATCTGAGGCGACGGTGACAGAGCGATAGCTCTCCAATGGCTTGATGTCGATGCCCATTATGCCAGCGATAACATTATCCGGGATTTTCAAGCTGAACGCGCTATACAAAATCCCTGACGATATGCATACCACTGTACATGTTTGTCGGCTATGCTGGCGGAAACATCAAGGAACCTGGTATTCAGCTTGGCTACCTGAGAGCGTTTTCCTCTCTATTTCTTTTTCTTCAATTGTGGAGGGAGTTTGATGCCGGAACAAACACACAGTAATCGAGAATGAATGTGCGGGTTGTGTGTCATCGGGCACCGGAGAACCAAAACAAGGCGATTAGGGCGCGCCAGCCCTCATGTAGACCCGTCGTATCGAGTAGCTGAGTGAGCCAGGAGATAAGACCGGCTTGTCGGGTACTGTTGTGAATGGGTTGGCTTGATTCCACAGTGGTACATATCCCTGTGCCGTGCGCTACCAGGCTGTGCCATCAGAGGTGACGAGGTCATGGTTGCGCGCATAACTGTTGACTGCTGTGCGGATCTGACGGGTCTGATCTGATGCGCATCCCTCATGAGGACATAATTCCAGTAAATGAAGGAGTTTGGTCTCTGGTTTGCACTGTGGTGTTGATGTTATGCTTGGTAGCATAATTACTCTAGAGTTGGAAGGCTACGGTGGTTTTCATGAGTAACCGCAGACAACACTCCATTCAGCAGTTGGTTCCACTGTCACCACACTGAGCGCGATATATGGCCGCATTGGCACGCTGCCGCTGGGAACGTAATAAAACCGCTCCGCGTAATAGTGTAGGGAGAACGACTATGACCAGTTCTTCTGATACTGAAACTGGGTAACGGACCACTCCAAACTAGAGTATAGTTGACTCCTCGCCATGACGAATGACGTGAGGCCACCATTGGTCCTCATACCAAATTAGAATAAGGATTACTACTTGGCCTAAGAAGCGATTGAGGTGTTCCAAGATCTGACTGATCATCGTCTCTGGTTGAGCTTCGCGCCAAGGTTGGATCTCATTTGTCGTGGAATCGATTCGCGAACGTCACATGTCTGTGATAAGCTTTACATCTGAAAGTAGTAGCCGTCCGGGTGAGTGTACACTGTTGGATTCAGTGGAATGCGCCATTTCTGGAACAGTTGTAGAATTGTTTCCGATGTTACAGCCCAGTGATACTGGAGTAACCTGCCACTGTGCGAAAGTATACCGGCTTCTAAATTTAGTTTGCCTGGCATGTATTCGAGGGATACCAGCCAGGGAGTTTGTTCACGAGGCAGAACCACACTAGTCTGTGAGGTTGTGCATTCTTTGACTGGCTTCTCTCCTTGTGCAGCGCATAAAGCGCAATGCTGGCGTCTGTGAGGCAGACGAGTCGTGTTGTCGATATTTGTGTTGTTGGCGAAGAACTCGGAGGTCAGAACGAGCGCCTTTAATAAGCTCGAGTACGGTAATTTGGCAGAGTTTCTTTGTTGGGATTTGAGTCCTGGCAAATGTGTACGTTTTCTGCTGCAACCGGAGCGTGGCACCGAAAGCAGCTTCAAGTTGTCGGAGGTGATAACTGCTTGGTGGTCGGGCAGCCAAATTTGACGGTATTCGAGGATCTCCACTAAAAGTCAAACTCTCTCTATCTTATCGAAAGTCACTACAGATAGTTAAACTCGGTAGTAGCGGCTCTATAGTGTTGATTGCTGGAGGTCGGCAATAAAGGAAGACCAGGACGATCACCCGTCAGAGCCGGCAGCGTCTGCAGCCGACAACTATATGGCGACTATGCAGAAGCACGACCTCAAGCGGAGAACCCCCTTACCGGAGGCCTAAGAGCGATTGGCAAACTTGGGTGGGAGTGGGTATGCGGCGTTGGATATGCAGATCCGAGTTTTCTATTGCGCTCGCTAGTCTGAGGACTTTTGTGTTTGCTCGCAAGTCTATCAGAACGCCTAGATGCTGTAGTCTGGTCAAGAAAACTGCTCAGTGACATTTTACTGGCGCGAATTGGAGTTGAAACTTTATGAATATTGTTGTAATGAACCTAACATTCTTCCGACAGTTGTTCCAAGAGATCGTCGACATACAGTATTATTCGTATGCCTCTTGCTCTTGTTAATTTTTTTTTGCATTATGTTCATCAGTTGATTGGGCTATGCGGGGGAGAACCTTGCCATATCGGCAACGCTAAGCTGGTACGTCCAGGCGGGGGTTTGTAAAAGTGGTTCTTTATGTTGGCTGACATAACTGACTGCGGTATGCTTCCTGTCGGTGCTCTATGTAGAGCCACTTCCAGATTTTGATTTGTTTTAGACAATTTGCCAAACAATTGGCCCAAGACAAAATGTTTCTTAATTCTTAACAACTGAAGCCTTTTGTTTCTTGTACCAAGACGGAGTATCATCTGGTAAATTCTTCAATTCGTCTGGAAAATGAGCGTGGCCTTGACACCACACTGCCGTTGCGGAGCTCTCAGTTTCAATACCGGTGCTACAATCTTCGTTAGTTTGGGCCAGACACTCCAAGACGTTATTGAAGTACTCTGAAGTTGAGACTCCGGTAATATATGCAACCGAAGCCCGTGTAAAGAATTCCATCTTGTACCAAGAACAGCGCAGTTTCGTTCTTAATAGCTGCGCCACGAAGATTAACTATAATTGCTGGGGCTTGGTGGTTTACATGTATAGCCATAACAAGGGATGTTGATGATTGTTATAAGAGCCAACGCTTGTACTTATTAAGTAGTAGGAATTATGGATCAAGAAGTGTGCGCACTTCACCGTCCTTTATACTTCTTTTTGACCAGGATTATGAAAAGAACATAATGTGAATATTATTCGTTTCCCAGTGGTCATGCTGCTCGTTCTGTTTGCCTAATGGCGTCTTTACTCCTGATATAATATACTATGTGCAAAGGTCTTCTAATATATGATATGTTTACATTCTCTTCACAGCGAGATACAATAAAGCAAGGGAAATAGTATTCAGAAAGACGGCTGCTGATGAACCTAGTAATTGACGAAAAGCAAATGATATATTTGCCTACTCATACAAAGTTCAGCTTCAATCGACCGAAGTAAACATAAACAAACTACTTGTCATGGCAGCTACGAATACAAAAACACGGCAAATCTTATTATTTGTTATGAGCTTTGCATTTTAACTTAAGTATTGTCGGCTAATAATCGTTCGTTCATAGGCGTCCTGCCGCGATTATATAAGCAGTGGATGTTCGCCTGAATTCCTATGCTTATTTTCGTTAAGCTGAAAAGTTAAAAAAATTCAGGCTTTTGGTTTTGAAGTGTAAAGTTGTTCTATTGTTTGAAGCTGAACATATTATTATGTATACAAATAGTCCGGAACAACCAGTTGTGTTAAAGCCATCGTCAACGAGTGTAGATAATATGTCAAGTTGAAATAAAAGATAAAGATGATTGTCGCTTTTGTGCGTGGTATTGTTTTGAGTCGACAAGCCGCTAAACGGTACTCGATATCTTGGTAAACTTGACATGCACCGGAATGAAGTAAACGTGAGTGTCTTCGTAAGTGACCTACCGGTATCGCTAAATAATCATCCCAATTGTTTTGCTCTCTCTACGTCTTCAGAAATGCAAGTTGAAAGAGTTTAACAAATATCTCAGTGCGACTTGTGCCTCGACCCAAATTTACTTTTATGATTATTGAGGCACTACCATAATAACAATAATTGTATCTCATAAAATTGTTGAACGGCACCGATGACATCGCATGAATGAATCTTTACACAATACTTCATAGAACCGAATAAAACTATGACGGCACTCAGAATGACGTATACCTCCTACAATGATGTGAGACGATAATGTATGTATCGAGTTTGTAGGTACCAGTATAGAAAAAAATGGGTTACAGTAGTTAACTGCAGATTTGAAACTTTGTGGTGATCTCAATTAGTACTAGGTTCGAGCGTTCTATACTTAACACTTTGCTACATGAGACCATACGGATGCAACGCATTTATATATATATGGTCGTAAACTTTTGCCCATACCAATTTTGCGTACCAAAATAAATCTTGATTCATTGAGTTACCAAATGGTTCGTTCTGAATTTCTACCTCCTATTACTCATGTCATATATCATATACCCTAAAATCTACAAACCGTGACATCTGACATGACCATACATGTGTGGCCTGAGAAAATTCGCAGCCTGAAATTCAATTCTAAACATCTTTATTTGATATCTACAAAGTATAGTCTTGTTATTTAGCACAAACGGTCTGGGGAGTCAGGCAGTGGTATCACGTCGATTTATCTGGATTTGCAGTACATCTGCAGTGGTCAATGATTCTCTTATCAGACGAGCTCGAGTGAAACTTGATCAATTATAAAAATTATGTATCACATTATCATGTAGATTCGCCTGTAAAGACAAGCACTATCAAGCCAGTCCTACACGCACATACACACGCACCCGTTTATTATTTTTGGGACGCCTGGTCTATAACGACACTGTTTGTTTCCATATGCACGCGAGTCACTGAGGTGGGAATGGACCGACAGACTTAAGAGTTTCAGGAGACTTAGAGTTTCAAGAGCGTGGTCGATGTCCTGCATAGAGACACTTTATTATCATTTCAAACAGACCACTCACTCGGATACTACCCGCGCGTCAGTAAGGTCACACTGAGATAATGTTCCTTCTATAAAGTACACCACTTGTCTATATATACACTACTCTTCTCTGAAGACGGCGTCGGCATCCAGAGCGCTCGTGGTGGCAATGGTACCCTCCACTGATTTGGCCCATTGTTCTAGTTTTGTGGCCATAGTGCCGATCTGTACCCTATCCAATACACGCGGGTGCACCCAGAACACGCTGCAGAAAATCAGGACAAGAATATTAAGTCACCCGATCAGATAATCTTGAAATGCAATTGAGTCTCCATGGCAGGATTTGGAACGGAAACCGGAAGCCAAAATTGGGACAGTGATTGACCACAGGCACGACAGCAGTGATATAATTCTAGTTAAGAACAAAGCACAAGCACAGGTACACATAATGCATATAAAGCCCGTACAGTCCGTGTGATAATATGTTCCGATAGATGCCATATCATATGCACACCACACACACATGTACTATTGTTCCTAATGAATCACCCTCATGGACCTGAAAAGGAAGTGATATATCCAGTAACAAGGAATCCATACGAAGAGTACGAGTCTAACTCACCTCGTGGTCTCTGCAACTCCATCGATAGTCGCCTCGATTAACTTGCGCGATATAGCGGCCATGATCAGAAGTTCAACCTACACGAATACGATGAATGGAAAGTGTCAATCAAAACCCGAGTGATAATAATAATACACTGGGTACACATACACCGACAAGCGCAGTATAGTGTAATGTGCATGGGTGTCTCATAAGAGTTGAGGAAGCAATCGAAGCTTGTGCATATGTATGGGCCGACACACACACACATACACATACATTCATCGGCGTAGACATTCAGATAACTACAAGTTCGTGTAACATACCTCATTGTCACTAATCTTCGCAGCAGCGGCAATGTCTTTGAAGGCGATCACGCGGCCATCCACCGGTCGCTTGAAGATTAAATTGACCAACGCTGTTAGAGACATCTTGCCACGCACTGTGATGAGATTGGCAACCAAGTCACTCTGCAACGAATCAAGGAGTGAGATAAGAGGATATGGTGAGATAATAAGATATGGTGAGATGACAAGATACGGTGAGATAAGAGGATATGGTGAGATAATAAGATATGGTGAGTAAAAAGATATGGTGAGAGAAGAGGATACGGTGAGATAACAAGATATAGTGAAGTACTGCACATAGTGTGTGCTTGGTAGTTGGATAGCATGCCCCTACGTGAGTGCTTAAGGAACACCGAACAGTGTGCACACAGACGATCTCAAAGCATGTACCACAGCGTAGGTTCACCGAGTTTTAGCGTTCAGGGTTTTAGGGTTTTACCAAAGCGTAGGATCACGGACCTCTCATTATCCACACTTGCAGGGTATATACATATATATATATATATAATTATATATATAGAAACACAGTCTTGGGGCATATCCACCCGCAGAGAACATTACAGCGTGTATGGCACCTACACCATCCCATATCAACACGTTTACACGAAGCCTGGTGCAGTGCGAGTGCATGGTACTATATGTTATACTTTGTAATATATTATGTTATACTATGCATGGTACTATACTTCCATACTATGCATGAAACTATGTTATATTATATATTAGATATGATATAATAAGCAATATGTACGGCTATTGTACTGTACTGCATATGCATGGGGGCATACGTGCGTCATCCACTGTGGCTGGAGCTTCTCGTACGCGTCCACATCTCCGGCGTTGAAGGCTCTAATCAGCTGCAGCACCCACTCGTCATTAGTCCCTTCCAAACGCGTGAGAATTGGATGTGCCAGAAGCTCACCAAAGTTGTAGATATCATCAGACAACAATGCAGCCACAGCCAAGTCAGTCGCCTCTTTCTGCTGTTCCGTGGGGGAGAGGGTCGTGGGTGCGGCAGTGTCACTCACACAGCCCAACTGGCGTAGGGCATCTCGGTAGTAGTTGGTGAAGTTGCCTGGTAGGAAGGGTTGGGTAGGGTTGTCAGGGTATGTAACGTCTGTCCGGCTTTTTCAAGAACCTGTCCACTTTTAACCAAACAGGACAGGTACACGCGCCGGAGCCGTGCTACTATATACTCAACACAAATCCATCCACTTACACCTCATAGCCAAATCACGCCATACAATCAAAAGATACTGGCATCACAAAGCATCGCCCGTACCTCGTTGCTTCTCGTATCCGGAGGAGAGTGCGTAGAATTCTCCTCTGATGTCCAAGGGAACCATATCATTATTCTCTACCTCGGGCCTGGCCCCCTCCAAGATCGCCTTCACGGCAGTCAGGTCGCTTTGTTTCAGATGGTACTGCCCTATAGCCAGACTTAGAGACAACGACGCGTCTTTGTGTGTCTAAAGAGGCAGCACAAACAGAGGACGATGAGTGAGTTGGGGGTAGTATGCCGCTCCCTTGTGGGGGTTGCTCGGGTGTGGCTGGGGAAAATCCACCCTAATTGTAGCATTTGGACCTATATATACATACATACATATTTATATATATATACTGACACGTATATACAGACAAGTATATATATATATATATATATATACATATATATATAGAAACTTACATACATATACATATACATATATATATATATATATATATATACAGGCACGTATATATATAATATATAATATATATATATACATATATATACAGGCACGTATATATATATATATATATATATATATAAATTACACACACACACACACACACACACATATATATGTGTGTGTGCGTATGTGTGCATATATTTATATATATATATATATATACAAACACATATATATGAAGGATTTTAGATGCATACTTATAAACATGTGCTATATATATATATATATATATTTATATGTATATATGTATACACATAAATATACATAGATATAATAGATAATTATATATAAAAATATACTCCAACATATACTAATACACAGAAATACACACACACGAACACAAACATACATGCACACAGACACAAAGGTATATATATACCCACCCCCATCCAAACACCCATACACACACACGCACACACACACGCACACACACACACATCCATATATATATATATGGTAATTTAAATATATGTATTATAAAGATGTAGATTGATACGCATACGCATACGCACACAATATCACAAAAACACACAAAAACACACACACACACATATATATATATATGTATATATTCACACAAACAGACACACATATATATATACACACACATATATATATATAAAGATACATAAATATCA